TACATACATACCACACAATTCTTATGCATTTATATGTCTAATACCAAAACATTCATAATACATATATAGCACTCAAATCTTTAACATCACATAAAATATAACACCATTTCTATCTTTTTAAGGTGAAACACACCTTTTCATGCATAAGTTTATAGCATCCGAGGTGTTATAAATATAAATATCAAACTTTAGGTCTTAAACATGCAAATACGCAAGAATATGTGGTATAAATGTAAATTTCCCTTAAAAGTTTTGGATTTCAATTACAGATGATCATGGAAAAAAGTTTGTATCAACTTATGCTGATCAAAAAGTGGTCAAGATGAATCTAAAAATCTTTATATTTACTTTAAGATAAGTGCAGCACTATTATTCTATATGCTGTGCTCATCTCAAAAGCAAATTTAAGGATTTTGAAATCCATCCTAAAACAAAACATTGGCCAGAATATCATGATCATGAAGGTATCAAGCAACAACGATGAAATGAAGATGGAAGAACAATGCTATTCTTGACAATGGATAATACTGCAGCAGTGAATAAAAAAGCGTATCATCAAATATCAGTGGGAAGATTTGCATACGCACCGCTTAATTCCATATCCAACACCTAAACTTCAATTTTTAAATACATGTTACCTTACCTATGAATGAAAATGTGTATTTCACTCTTTAAAAGTTAAAATAGTGATATTTCCGATGTGGCATGAAAGATTTTGGTGGCATAAATGTAAAAATTAAAGTTTCAGTGTTATACATAAGAATTGGGTGGCATGTAGGTAAATGCTCCATATCAATAAGGTTAAAAAATTCAAACATTTTTTATTCATCAACATTAAAGATGCACATATTGTGCAATAGAAAAGTGGCACTTAAACTTAAAGAAAAATTTTATAAGATGATGATGAGACCTGCAATGTTTTATGCACAGAATATTGGCCTTTAAAAAGGAAGCATTAAAGCTAAGGAAGCATTAAAGCTAAGTTAAGTATTGCTGAGATGAGAATTCTTAGGTGGAAGAGTGGCTTGACACTTAAAGACAAAATGCGAAATGAATGTGTCCATGAAATGGTTGGTGTAGCTCCAGTGGCAGACAAAATTAGAGAGAGCTGTCTTAGATGAGATGGTCACATAAAACATAGACCATCTGAAGATCCGGTTAGGAGAGATGATATTTTGGATTCGACTAATTATGTTAAAAAAGGTAGAAGAAAACTTAAAAAGACTTGGGAATATTGTATAAAAAATGATATTAATTTATTAAAATTAAATAAAAATACGACCCTAAATAGGATTCAATAGAGAAAAAAGATTCATGTAGCCGTCTCCACTTAGTAGGATAAAGGCATGTTATAGTTGTTGTAGTTTAGCATTCAAAACATATTTATTCATAACAATGACGAAGAATATCATGAAACGGACTTGAGCGGAATGAGTGCATACCATGTAGACAGGGAAGAAGGCGGAGTCTCTCTCCATCCTGATAATCTTCAAGACAGATAGCGCAAGTTTCAGTAATATGTTTGGTGGTCAAATAAGCCCTTTTAAATATGAAACATGTAAGTATTTCTACTTCCTCCCTGTCCATACGAGGAGGTTTTCGACGGCCACCATTCCGAAGAATCCAACAGTTTCGAGCAAATAGAAATGCGGCAATAGCTGATATTATAATGACAACAGAAACGAAAGAAATCACAAGCACTGTTCCTGCATTTTCCTCAATCGGAGGGCCTATGCAGCATTCTCCTTCGCCTTCAGCATACTTCTGTAAGGTCTCGCCTGCCATCTTCGAAACAAATGTTGCATGTATGTGGATGCCCGATGGATTTCCAATCACTACAGGAGAAAAAGAAAAACTGTCAGAATGGCCCCCTGACCCTTTGTGGACATATATTTTAATCCCATTTAGTCCCGGACATT